CGAAGATGAGATGGCTGAGTGTGTCTGGCATTGTTTCTGCATCTTCTAATCTGTTCCACTGGTCCTCCAGTCTGTTTGTTTGCCAGTACCATGCTGTTTTTATCACAGTAGCTTTGTAGTATAGTTGCAGGTTGGGGATTGTGATACCCCCTTGGCACATTTTCTAATGATGGTCTTGGACTTCCTTTTAAAGACTTTAGAGCTGCAACTAGATTTTCCAATACTTATTATCGCAGACCTGGACTGTTCAGTATGGTAGGTGCTAACCACATGTCACTGTTGAAGTTTAAAGGGGCTGGGCATTTAGCTCAGTGGTTGCACTGCCTGCTGCACAAATGCAACGACCCGAGTTCGATCCCCGGTACCCCCCCCCCCAAAATGGCTGTTGAAGTTTAAAATAATTAAGATTATAAATAAAGATTCAGTCTCCAGTTATGTTGGTCACATTTCTAGGACAGAATGGTAGCTGTATATGACCAGCGCCTGCAGTGCTGTGGACATTGTAGGTGTAGAACATTTCTGTTACTGCATAGAGTTGGATTGGACAGAGCAGTTCTGAGCTTGAAGTCTAACATTTAGCTATCAGTAGTTGAATGTCATTAAAATTCCTTTTACTCTAAAATATTGTGACACAGTACTTTATATTTTGTGATGATTTAGATTAAAAAGGGCTTTTACATATGTTATTCCGCTTGACTCTTAAGGCAATTCTATGATGTAGGAAGGGGAGATAAATGGCAAAATTTAGCAAAACCAGAACTAGAATTTCACTAGATTTGGTTAGCTTTTTGAACATCATGATAATTGATAATCATTTTTTTGTGTGGTGTTGGGATCCAGATCTAAGCCAGGGTTTATGCTTGCCAGGCCAGTGCTCTGGCTTCACCCCAAGCAGAGAATTCTGTAGTCCATAGTTTAGTGAGTCATTTGGGAGAGTTAAGGTGGTTATGGAAGTAGGGAGCCTGAGACTGGGGGCTCTCTTCCTGGGCGAATGCCCAGGTTACACTATAGTGAAAGGGTGGGCATCAGCAGGTGTGGCTTCCTTTTCTACCTAATACAGGAACCTTCTGAGCTCTGTAACACAGCAACCCCTGACAGCTTTGTCACAATCTGTGCTGTGATCAAGCAGAATAAATGGGAAAGGTGCATAAAGAGCAACAAGTGAAGAAAATATAGTACTTGTTTGCAGTGATGGCTGATTACTTGGTAATGATAGATTTTGAAGGATTATATTTATTTCCTAGTACATGAAATCTTCCCTTTTTTGGGACCAGCTAAGTTTTTTACCAATTCTTAAAATTGGAGAAAAAACTACAAAACCCACCATAACCAATGAGTAATAGGGAACAAATAAAAATTACTTAGGCTACTGGGGATATAGCTCAGTGGTAGGGCACCTGCCTATTATGTGCAAGGCCTTGTGTTTGATTTCCAGCATCAAAACAAACAACCCCAACAAAAACAAAATAAACTAGAGATATTTGGGTAAAGTACACGTGTGTAATTTTTTTCTGTGTAATGTTTTAAGGAACAAAGTATTTCCACCAACTTTCTCTCTTTTAATTCTTTAAATTAAAATCAGTTTATTTCTTTAATTCACAGTGTGGTGAAGTTACTATTCCAGTCTTCCCGTGGTCATCTAATGAAGGTTGTTAGAACCAGGACTAGAATCTGCATCTTTTGACCCTTCTGCTCTTTCAACTGTAGAAATACCTTTCCTCTTTCATTTTGTGCTTCCTTTCTTGTCCTTTGGTAAACTGATTAGTACTTTTGCTTGGCAGTTTTCTTTTTGTGGTCCCAGGGATTGAACTCAGGATCTTGTGCTTGGAAGGCAGGTGTGCCACTGAGCTAAATCCCTGGCCCTGCAGTTTTTTTAAAAATAGGGCTGTCTACTTTTAATACAGGTCAGGTCTTAGCAGGAAATGTTATCTGGACTTTACAGAAGAGGCTCATGTGAAAAATTCAGATATCTTTGTTGTAAGCTTAGCTGTAGTATGCTCCAAAAGAACAGCAATCCTAAAACCTCAAGCTTTCAGTAATTCTATAAATGGTGGAATTCTTGTTGCTATTTCCTGTAGCTTTAGCCTAGTGTGTGCAAGGCCCTTGGTATGGGTGTTTGTCTATATTAAATCTCTAGATTTCTCAGCTGGACTCAGAGTCATGTTTCTATCAGGCTTTGGGATAGTCTCATCTGGTTTTTCCATTATTAAAGAAGTCTAGATTTGAACTTGTTTCCTTCTTTCCCAAAGCTCTTCCTCCTCCTTTGTTGACCCCAGTTAAACTGTACTATCCAGTTTCCCAAGCTGGAAGCCTCAACGTTATTTCTTTCCTTTCTCTCAATTTGCAGTTATATAAATGGTCTCCAAAACATGCCATTCTATCTAGCGATAAGCTCTTAAGTCAATGGCTTCAACATCGTTTAGTTTGTGTTCTTCTGCTAACCTCCAAAGTGGTCTCCCTGACTTGACTCTTGGGATGTCTTCATTCTCAGCCATTCTACCCTGGAAAAATGTCAGTTGTCTAGTTTAAAATCATGATTAATACTTGAGAATACTTAACGTTTTTTTTTTTCTTTGCCTGTACTGGGAATTGAACTGAGGGCTTCGTGGGTGTTAAGCAGGCGCTTTACCATTGAGCTACATTCCCAGCCTTTTTTATTTTTTATTTTGAGACAGTGTTTCAAGGGTTTGAGGCTGGCCTCAAACTTGGTATCTTCCTGTGGATTATAGGTATGTGCCACTGGATCTGTCAGGAATACTTGTTTTAAAAGGTTTTTTTTTTTCTATAAAAGAAAGTTTGGAGAACACAGGTTCTTATGAGGGTCCCACATACACACTCTACCCCCCCCCCCTTACAGTTTGATAGTTTTGTTTTTGGTATGAGAAACTGAAAGTGTAAATGAGGGTCAAAATGAACAATAGATAATGTGAAATAGGAAGAAAAGATCCAAAGGGGAAGTGGGAGAGGTAGGGGAAAGGAAAGAAGGGAAAGGAAAAAGTATGAGAAAAAGAAAAAAATGGAAACAAAGTCTTTGTATATGGGGAGGTTGTGGAGGAGTTGAAGGGAGGGCGGGGGAATGGGGGAAAAATAAGATCTTTTTTGATTAACAGAATCATCTTTTTTTCAGGGTCATGATATGAGGGATAATATCCAATGAGTAGGGCTTCAGTTGCCTCATTTGTGAAATGAGGTAATTGGATTTGATAATTTTCAAAATACTTATACCTCTGAAGTTTAATTCTGGGTTTTACTTATAATAGAATTTTCTTTGATGGACTGACTATTGCCATCTGTTGGTAGTAGTGAAAATTATAACTATTTCTTTTGGGATTTTTTGACTACACAGTGAGACCAGGCTATCCTCAAACCTGATGCTCCTGCCTCAGCCTTCAAAATGCTGGGATTATAGATGTGTGCCTTCACACCTGGTTAACTCATTATTTTAAGTTGAAGTATCTCTTTTTAATTGGGAGTAAAAATGATAATGGTGGAGGATAAGGATCTAGTGGCTAGTATAGTTTTTTGAATTTTGGCACGATACTTGTGAGAAGGGAAAGAAATTAAGTTAGCTACTTAATAGATGGTATCTTACAGGAAAACATAAAAGGTATTTTATTTTTCAAGATACAAGCAAAAACCTTTTTTTAGTTCTATTAGTTTTTGAATATGTAATGTAGAGTGAAATGAAATTAAATATTCAGATACTCAAAAACTATCAAACTGGTACCTCTCAGAATAGTTGGTATCTTATCGGGCACCCTCCCAGTGATCACTTGTTGATGCCAGAATGAAAGCTCACCATAAGTCTGGTGTTGACTTTTAGGGCTACATTCATAGAAGACATAGTTTTTCAGAAAGCTATGTGAGAGCAAAATAGGTTCAATCTCTACACTCCCCATCCCCACAGACTTCATGAATGACAATGATTACTAAATGCTTTCACTATCTGTGACTTGTGGGAAGATAGACACTGCAGTCCACCAGGTGTCCTTGACCAGGTATTAGTTGCCATTTCCTTTGAGGTGATAAGAGCTTGTCACTTGGTAGCTTGATGGAGAGATAGGCCTTTGGTTTTTGGTGTGTTCTTCATAAATAAGCTTTCAAAAGAAAAGAAAATTCTGTGTAAGAGTATATTCATACACATGAATGTGCTTCCTTTGGCCTTTCAGGTTAAAAACAAAGTATGTTTGAACTTACTAAAGATACTAAATAACTGCTTCCTTTTCCAGCTCAGAAGATAAGATAACAATCCACTTTATAAACCGAGATGGTGAAAAATTAACAACCAAAGGAAAAATTGGTGACTCTCTGCTAGATGTTGTTGTTGAAAATAATCTAGATATTGATGGTTTTGGTGAGTATGAAACATTCCTTAAAGTTGATAAGTGAAATTTTTTTTATTGGTATATTTTATTTTATTTTTTGATTTTTTGAAACAGGGTCTCACTGTGTAGTCCAGGCTGCCCTCAAACTCACTGTGTAGCCCAGACTGGCCTCAAACTCTTGGTGATCCTCTTGCCTCAGCCTCCCGAGTGCTGGGACTACAGGCATGCACCTCCATGCCCACTGGATCTATTTTAAATAGGTTTCATTTTTTTGAAAGTAATTTTAATCTATAGCTTACTAGGTAAAATACTAAAATTCAAGATGTGTTAGTATTTTATTTTCATTTTTAAAGACTGATAGTGACATTATTCTAGTCTTTCTAAAGAATTTAAATAACCATGTGGTCAGAATTCTACTGTAGCCTTATTACCTTATTTTTTATCTTTCTGATACAAAGCTGAGGATAAGGAATAGGGTTAAAAGATACCAGTCTAGAGGTAAATATATCACAGAGGACTATTTAGTTTTTAGTTGTTTATTTATTTATAATTATTATTATTTTTGGTGGCACTGGGCATTGCACCCAGGGCCTTATGTGTGCTAGCCACATGCTCTATCACTGAAGTATGTCCACAGCCCTTTTTATTGTATTTATTTTATTTAATTTTTAATTTTCATTTTTTTTAGTACTGGGGATTGATAGGACCTTATGCTTGCGAAGCAGGAATGATGCCACTGAGCTAAATTCCTGGCCCAGTTTTTATTTTTTATTTTTATTTTTATTTTTATTTTTTAACCATTATGCAGACATAATGGTTACATTGATTGTGGAGAGTTTGTACATGTGTATAACACATTTTAATTCTTTTTACTTTTCCTTCCCCTCCCATCCTTTCCTGCTACCTCTAACTCATTTCCCTTCCCATTTGCAAAAGCTCTAGTTCCATTTTTTCTTCAATTCACTTTTAAAAAAAAAAATCCCTTTCCCCTTCCCTCCCTTCTCCCTTTCTCTATCCTCCCTGCATCCCTTGTTCCCCTTCCCATTTGATAAAGATCTCCCTACTTCCTATTGTGCTATCTGTGGTTTTGCTAAGTTGCCCAGGCTGAACCTGAATTTATAATCCTCCTGCCTCAGCCTCCTGAGTGATTGGGATTTTAGACATGGACCATCAAATCTGGCTTTGGAAATTATTCTTAAATGTCAGCTCACATTCCTAGGAAAGGTAACTTATCCTAAAAAGTGTTGTTTAGAAAATTTTTAATATTTATATTTTGAAGTGTATTTGTTACCCATGTATATATATACCAAGCCTATGTTTCAGCAATTGACATCTTTTATTTTTTCAGACATACCCTGTGTATCACCTGGGAGTTTTACTTAAACGTCGTCTCTGTCTAGAATGGTCATTCTCAAAGAAGGTTCCCTTGACCATTGCCATTTATGTGCCATTCCTGGGAAAGGCATATTCTCAGGCTCCATTTCAGATTTTCTGAGTCCAGGTCTGGGACAGCACCTAACAGTGTATGTGTTAACAGGCTGCTCTGTGATACTGATGATGAATGTTCAAGTTTGAGAGCCACTGGTCTAGAATGAGGTCTAAGGAGCATAACTGACTGTGCCTCTTATCATGACACAGTTCACTTGCATTTTTAAGAGCTACTGTATTTATAGATCAGAATTTTTTCTTCATTTTCTCCATGATTATTAAATCTACCTCCCTGTGTTAATGCTCATTATAGTTCCTTATGATGATAATTATATATATTTAAAAAGTACTAATAAAAAAAAAAGGAAAAAGAAAAGGTATAGACAGAGAGTTGGCTCTGTAAGTCCAGGACCCAGAGGAGAGGTCTGAGCCAAGGATGTAAAGATGCAGAGATGTTTTTAACACCAAAAGATTTGAAACAGTCCAGTACCCATCAATAGAGAACTAGTATGTAGTGAAACAATGGGATATTATGTAGTTTTCTAAAAAAAAAAAATGCTAGAACAAATATTGTAGTTTACCTGTTGGCAATGGAGAGTCAGAGGGAAATGTTTGTTATAAAACTTCTTATGCTTTTTGATTTTCTAACAATGTAAATAGGTTACCTATTTCAAAATATATTTAAGCAAAAACCAAGGAGACAATATAAATGTTCAATAATAGGAATTAGATCCATGATACTATTTAAGAATAAGATTAAAGAATTAATTAAATTTTAAAGAAGAGTATGTAAGCATTGTGAGTGTTTGCTGTGAATTAGTAGTAACACAGAATAATGCTTGTGGGTGAAAAACACAATGTATTTAGTTGTTTTGCTTCCTATTTTTCAGGTATACTGAAAAAGTACTAGAGTGAGAGGTATCCAAATGTTTAATACTGACTTCTTGCTCTGATTGTAGGTTTGTCATCACTGTCTTCTGCTTTTTTTCTGTAGTGACATAGTATGTATTTTAAAACCCAAGACTCTTTAAGTTACTGACCTTCCTGTGTCTCACTGTCATTATCTATCAAATGAAGCTAATAATAGTACTCACCTCATATGGCTTTTGTAAGGATTAAATTAATATGTGTTCAGAACGTATCTTGACACATAGCAAGTGTTTTAAATATTTGCATTTGTTTTTATTATATAAAAATCGTACATATACACAATGACATACTACTTCATGCCCATTAAGATGGCTTTTACCAAAAAACTGAAAAATGACAAGTATTGACAAGGATGGGGAGAAATTGGAACACCTGCACATTTTTGGTGGGAGTATTAAATAGTGCAGCTATTACAGAAAACAGTTTGGTGGTTCCTTAGAAATTAAACAGAATTATCATTACAAGCTAGCAGTTTTACTCCTTGGTAGTGAGATTCAAAAAATTGAAAGCAGGGACTGAAATAGATACTTGTATACTAATATTTATAGTAGCATTATTTATAGTAGCTAAAAGGTAGAATCAGTTGTGTGTATAAATAGATGAATAGATAAACAAAATGTGATATAGACATATTAGAATATTATTCACCTATGAGAATAAAATTCTGACACATGCTGGAACATGAACCTTTACTATACTAATCCCCCAAATATAAAGACCCAATTCATAAATGGGCATCTGAAATGAACAGACATTTCTCAGACAAAGAAGTAAAAGCAGCAAACATGTGAAAAAATGTTCAACATCACTGGTCATTCGAGAGATGCAGATGAAAACAACACTGAGATTCCACCTCACCCCAAAAGAACGGCTGCTATCAAGAAATCCAGTAACAATGTTGTCGGGGGTGTGGAGAGAAAGGAACCCTTCTCCATTGTTGGTGGGAGTGCACACTGGTGCAACTACTGTGGAAATCA